AAGATGAGGCAAGTTGATCAGTGGATATTACACACCATTAAAAAATATGAGAACCACTCTCAAGGGTCCAAAAATAATACTCAAAGGTTTATTTTTTATTCATGAAATGAGCCTCATTATATAGAGGAAAATACATCAAAAACGTCCATAAATATGTCTTAACATGCAAAACACCTAGGGAAACAAAATTCAAACTCTATTGCATGTAAGAGAGAGAACAACACTAACATAAATGTTGTTTTGGAATTTTGACGAAAATATGATCTTCCTTGATAGTTTTTGGGATGAATCCAACTTTGTGGGCTTCTCTGATGGATCAAGATTGTAGAACAACTCGGTTTATAGCTTAACTCATTAGTTTGGTCGGAATGCTTCAATGAATGCGCATAGGTCTAAAACAAGTAAACTGGGAAACACCTAATTTGTAAATTGAATAAATCCTTCGTTTGAACTTTGTTTCACCTGATTCTTCTTCGGCGTGTTTCGTAAATGAGCTGAGAATATTTTCCAAGTTGTTTCATGCATTGAATCTGACTGGTTGATAAGATAGGCTTCAAACAGTGAAGATATGTTCTTTCGGGTCTGATTCGAATTATGCATCCGATTTTGTTGAGTTTCGATTCAGCTGCTGGTTTGACGACCTCATCATAATCTCCTTGCTACTTCCCATGATCGTATAACTTGTTTTCTCAACGGGTCTTGGAAGGATGAGGAACCCACGAGTGGGATAGGATAGGTTCTGCAACTGCAAGATGGAACTACATCCTCTAGGTCTCAGAGGAATGCGTCGGGGGATGTTCCCTCTACATACATAAATGCATGGTCTACTATGGGCTATGGATAGTTTGCGGAGGCAACAACGTTACTGCTCATTGTTCGTTACATATTCAAAGGAGCTGACCAATATGGTGTCAAACACGGCGGACTAGCCCCGGTTTAAACCGTAATTGGATGAGTTCAAGGAATTAAAAAAAAATCAGTAATTTGCACTGGTACATTGCTCGAGGGACGAGAATGGAAAAGCATATCTACTTACTAGGAATGCTCGTTTAAGAAAATCAATTTATTCAAGTATTAGTACTTCTGTTCTTTATTGGTTATTGAATACATCTGTATTTGTTAACCAAATAAAAGAAGTATATCGTGACAAAAAA